AAAAAAAGAATGTATGACAGCTGATGCTTCAACTGCCCCAAGAGGAGTTTCAATAATCCAAGGCCCTGACCTGCATGTTCACCCCCAAGGGGGACCAGAAAAAGAGTCCCCAGTCCCAAGCACGTCAGGGACATGCCACTCAGAGCCACCTACAGAGTCGGGATGCCTGGTAACTGCTGCACTTCAAGGGCGAGTCGATGAGAAGCAATCTGCCCATCAGGACAGGTGGCTGACACAGCAGCCTGGTAGTCTTGGTATCGGATCCGGGTAGGAGTGAAAAGCATTCAGTGAAAATTTGTGACAGAGGCCTGCACCACACCTGCATTTAGGGGTTTCGGTTTGCCATATCTTGAGTGGATCCAGAATACCTATGATTAAAATTAGTGTGAAAAATTGTTACTGGTCTAAAATAATCCTGGATAACCCAGAAGGAGCAAATGAGAAATGGCTCCGAGGGGATCTACCCTTAATCAAGTCCTCACAGGATTTCCACAGAAAGCCCCCTGAAATGAGCTTGTAATTCAAAACTGTACAGAATTGATCAATACAGCTGAGCACAGTGGCTCCCTCCCACCTATAGTCTCATCACTTTGGGAGGCTGAGGCAGGCAGATCACAAGGTCAGGAGTTTGAGAGCAGCCTGGCCAACATGGTGAAACCCCGTCTCTACTAAAAATACAAAAATTAGCTGGGCATGGTGGCGTGCGCCTGTAATCCCAGCTACTCAGGAGGCTGAGGCAGGAGAATCCCTTGAACCTGGGAAGCAGAGGTTGCAGTAAGCCAAGATCGCACCACTGCAGTTCAGCCTGGGCAACAGAGAGAGACTCCGTCTCCAAAAAACAGAAAACCAAAGAATTGATCAATACAAGGCAACAGTGCAGTCATCACGCTCAAGAATCAGCAAACTCCCTACAGGGCTCAACCCACAAGAACTGAAGATAATCGGTCAGTCTGACAGAGGTAAGTAAATTTAAAATAATGCAAATATAAAAGGACACAAAAGCAGATACTATGAAAAGAGAAAAGCATTGTGGAAAAGGAATCAAATAGAAACACTAGAAATGAAAAAATTACAGTCACTGGAATTACCATGTATATTTGAACTATATATGGACGGGTTGGAGAACTAAATAGACATGGAGCTGAGAAGGGAATTTTTTATCAGAAAGTTCAGAAGGAAGCCCAGAAATGAAGAAATATCAATAGAAAATAGACAAAAGAGGTTAAGAGATGCGGACATGAGAATACAGCATATTGCTAGTTCCAGAGAATATGGGAAAGGGGAACAGGTACTCCAAGAGCTATTGCCTGAGAATTTTGTAGAGTTGAAATGCATCAATCCTCAGTTTTAGGGAGGACAGCAAGTTCTGAACAAGATAACCCAAATGAATGGATTTTTTCTTATTGAATTCTCATACCAAAAATTGTGATTTGCAGTATATACTCATTTCCTTCAAAGTGACAAAAAACCCTTATAATAAAAAAGACTAAAATTGTATTTGTTGTAACATCCTTGTTGCTGGGAGGTGTGGTAAAATCATTTATTCACAGGATCTGGTGTAACAGAAATGTACAAAACCAGGAGAGTCGGTGCAATGGTTCTTTGGAAGACTTCTAGCAGGATGGCTGTGCTGACCACGCCCTTCCTTTCAAATTTATCTTTCATGCTGCTTATCTGGAGTTTTGTGTCTGTAGGGTATAGGCAGGAAACAGATGGCCCACTCGAACTGGATATGAAGGAAGTTTAAGACTGTTTGCAAGGACTTGGGCAGGGGGTAGAGAAAACCGATGGTGCAGCTTCGGGGTCCAGCAATAGTGAGAAGCCATCACCACTGCCAGGAGAGGGCCAGAAGAGGGGTGAGGTGGCACCCAGAGAGCCACCTGCACAGAGAGGGCTGAGTGTGCGGCAGGAGCTGTGGTCCTCTGAAGGGCCCTGCAGCCAATCTGCACAGCAAGAACCGAACCCCAACAGACGTTTGTCCAGCAGAGTCCTGGTTTGCTCCCATCGTTCTTTCTCAAAAATACCACAGTTTGGACAATAAATGGGTTGATCACTAGTACAAAGGTGCCTGTTGGTACAGTCCATACAGAACAGCTTTCTGACAAAGCAAAGCACAGAAGGATGGAGAGTGAATTGGGGGTCAGGAAGCAATGGAAAATATTCAGCATGAACATCTATTGCTCAGTAGTAAATGTCTTTTTGTTTTTTTGAGACAAGATCTGGCTCTGTCATCCAGGCTGGAGTGCAGTAGCACAATCTGGGCTCACTGCAACCTCTGCTTCCCGGGCCCAAGACATTCTCCCACCTCAGCCTCCCAAGTAGCTGGGACTACAGGCGTACGCCACCAGGCCCAGCTTATTTTTGTATTTTTTGTAGACATGTGGTTTCAGCATTTGCCCAGGCTGGTCTTGAACCCCTGAGCTCAACTTAACTGAGCCCGCAGCAGTTACTCAATACCCAAGAGAACAGTGGTGGGAGGCGAGAGGAGGGTGGGAAGTGGGGGGTGGGGGATGGAGAGAGCAGGGAAGTGGGGGGGTGGGGGATGGAGAGAGCAGGGGGATTTTTCTTGAAACGGTTAGGCTCCCTCTTTAGATTTTCACTAAGGGAGGCTTGGTTTGTGGTAAAGGGGTGAATTTAGGCTGCTGAGCCAGGAGACATTTAATCTGTCTGCCTCAGCTGTCTGCCTCTCAAAGTGCTAGGATTACAGGCATGAGTGCTAGGATTAAAAAGACTGGCTATATCTTTTTAATTAAACCGGCTTTATTGAGACATAATTCACATACCATAAAATGCACCCTTTTAAAGTGCAAATTTCAGTGATTTGAAATATATTCACAGTTGCCCAACTATCACCACGGATCAGTTTCAGAACACTTTTATCACCCCTCAAACCAACCCCCTACCTATTAGCAGTCACTTGCCATGTCTCCACAAGCTCCCTTGTCCCTAGCCCTAGATAAGCATGAATCTACTCTGTCTCTATGGATTTGCCTATTCTGGACATTTCATGTAAATGAATCATATAATATATGGCCTTTTTATATCTGGTTTCACTTAGCATAAGGTTCTCAAGGTTTATCCATGCAGTAGCATGGGTCGATACTTTTTTTTTTTATGGCTGAATAATATTTCATTGTATGATTATATCACATTTTGTTTATTCATCAGTTGATGGATATTTGAGTTGTTTCTACTTCTTGGCTATTACGAATAAAGGTGCTATGAACACTTGCATGAGTTTCTTTGTGGTCATGTTTTCAGTTCTCTTGGATATATACCTATACTGGAATTGCTGGGTCATATGGAAAATCTATATGTAACCTTTTGAGGAACTTCCAGAGTGTTTTCCCGGAAATATATATTTTTTTATTTCTTATAATTCATAAGGTTTTTTCCAGCATGAAATGGTAGAGACATTGTCCATCTATTTGTAACAGTTGACACTATCCATCCACGTGAAAAGATCTGGCTGCTGTGAGGTCCCGAAACAGTCATTGTGGTGTGGTAAATCTCTCTATTCCCTAGCCATGTACTCATAGCAGATTGTTTATTGAGTCTTCAAATAGCGTGATTTTAAAGATTTTAAAATTCATTCTGGAATAAACCATTATTTGGATGTTTCCAGCATTAAGACACTCAGGCAAACAAAATCGTATTAATTAATTGTCAATTAATGGTCTATGTCAGTCTCTTGAAAGTTTGGCTAGTAGGAGTCTGTCACTGAGAGCTTAACTCTGGATTTAAGGGCAGGGCCAAGATTCCGTTCCTTTGTGTGTATTCTGGTTTGTTTGGCCAACAGAGTATATTAAACGGAGCTGGAATTAGGCAGACATTGGAGAAAGATGTTGAACACCAGCAGTTTGGCATCTATCATTTTTGCTCGGCCGACTTTATATATGTAAGTAAACAGGGTGGCTCAGGGCTTCCCCCCATGGCAATTCTACCACAATGCCTGCAGTTTCAAGAAGTTTTACTTGAGCAGAGAGCAGACTTTCTTCTCTAGACCTTGAGCTTTTCTTTGAAATAAACAACAGAAACATTGACATGGGAGCCTTATTTTTAACAGGGGCAGTGTGTCAGATGGAATGGGCAAGGGATTTGAAGTCATAGAGACTCAAATTCTGGTGTTCCAGTGTTTCAGCTGTGTGCCTGAGAAAACTACTTGACTGGCCCATGCCATTTCATAAAAGACAAAATGTAATGCTCATTTCAAAATCTTGAGAATTGGAGATAATATGATTACTGGGCTTAGTCTGTAGCAGTTACTGAATACCCAAGAGAACCATGGTGGGTGAGGGTAGGGGGCAGGGGGATTCTTAACAAGAAACTGTTAGGTTCCCTCTTTAGATTTTCAATAAGGAAGGCTTGGTTTGGGCAAACGGGTGAATTTAGGCTTCTGAGCCAGGAGACATTTAATCAATTGTTTCAAAGCAGTTCAGCCTTGTTTACTTTTAATAATGGTTGTGTTTGCTTTTAATAATAAGAACCACAACCAGCCCTTCTATTTTCTGAAGGTGGTGAGCAGACAGATGCTTGTGACCTGGAGTTCAGCAGTAATCTTTACAGCCACAAGTGGCCAGTAGCCACGGGCAACAAGTGAAAACAGGTTGTGTACAGGGAACCGTTTCACTTGCAGGGTGGGTAATGCTATTTACCTAGGATCCTATCCAGCAGCTTCAAAGGTGGTGGCAGCCCTTACCCAACTAATAAGCACAACATCCCCTGGCTCCCTGTCTTCAAGGCAGGAAGATGCTGTGATGCGCATCAGGAGATGGAGGGAAAAGAAATGACTTGCCTACCTGACAGGTGAGTCACAGCCTCTCTGGGATCTTTCCTCATTTGTAAAATAAGAGGGTTGGTGCCTTCTGGGTGATGTCTTCCATCTGAGTCTGACTGACCTGCAGTCCTGATTTTAAGCTCTGTGAGTTCTTTTTCTGTTTTAGGTATCTAGACATATACGTCTGTCTCTGTGTGTAGGTGTGTGTTTATGTGTTGCAGAAACAGTTGGGGAAAGAGATTAAGGAAGAGATGATGCTGTTGGCTCCAGGCAGTGACTCAAGAAGGCATTCTTGGTGAAAGAAGAAAGACCTTTCTCGGGTGATGCTTCATTTTCCCCCATGTGCCCTGACACCCCACACCCCCTTGATGTGTCTATAAATACAAACAGCAGGAGGTCTGCATTACTAGACAAAGCAGGCGGTCACAACCCATTCTTCTTCCCAATGGCCACTGGGGCAGTTCCTTTCCCCTAAAACTTGTTGTTTATATTTATTTTACCCTAAACCTATTTTAACATAAACCTATTGAAATAGGAGAGGGCTTACCATCTCATACCTCCACATACATGTATTTTCTAGAACAAATTTAAGACTAATTGTAAAACGAAAATAGGCTGGGCACGGTGGTTCATGCCTGTAATCCCGGCACTTTGGGAGGCCAAGGCAGGTGGATCACAAGGTTAGGAGTTTGAGACCAGCCTGACCAACATAGTGAAACCCCATCTCTACTAAAAATACAAAAATTAGCCGGGCATGGTGTCGTGCGTCTGTAGTCCCAGCTACACAGAAGGCTGAGGCAGGAGAATCACTTGAACCTTGGAGGCAGAGGTTGTGGTGAGCCGAGATCCTGCCACTGCACTCCTATCTGGGCAACAGAATGAGTCTCTGTCTCCACCCTCCGCCCCTCAAAAAAAGGAAAACAGATTTCCACAAAGTTGTTCTTTATAATCTAATTTTTTTTTCTGACAGGCAGCTTAATACTTCAAAGGGCAACCCATTCCTTTAATGGTTATAACTAATTGTTTGAGATTTTCTTCAGCCTGAGTTGAAATTTTTCTTCCTTCATCAAAGTGAAGGAAGGATCTTGTATACAAGGAAGGTCTTTGTATAAAGGACCTACCGATCGTGAAGGTACCGTCTCTCTCTAAACTTTATCTCACAAAGGAGAAATATCTATAGCCACACAATTCGTGTACTTTTTAGTCATTGGGTCTCTATGACTATTATCATTATAGATAATATAATAATAATTTGAAATTATATAATAATATTATATATATAATATATAATAATAATTTGAAAACTGGATTTTAAGAATTCAGATTTAGAAATAGCAGTTTTCTCAAGAGACTCATTCATGAATATGGAAAGATCCTTTATCAAGTAATCCCCCCGGGGGTCCTTTAAATAGCAATCTTCTTCATTTTGATTCAATTTGTAGAAATCCCATTTAGATGCATTACTGGACCACCACATTGTGTAAAGGAAGGTAAATCGTGTGTTGGGTAACCATTTGGCTCTCTCTTTCTTCCCAACTTGTGACTAATTGATTTTGCCATTAATTGGGATTCCCCCTAGAGACCATTTGATCTATTTGCAGGATGAGCAGGGACTTAGGGCAGCCCCTCCAGATGGGATGGCTTTCAATAAGCAGACAGTGCAAAGGGACATCAGAGTGATACAGAAACAATTAATTGAATAACTCACTTGAAAATCATGTGCTGCTTTAAAGACCGACAAGCTAAGTAAATACCTAAGTAAAGACTTTACTGATCAAGTAAGGCTCCCTGTTGTAGCCTGGCTGAGAATAACGCCAGGAAAAAAAAAATTTAAGAGCATCCCATGAGTGGATACTATAAAATACTGGAAGCGCGATTCTAGGCAATAACATACGATAATCCTGATAACACTCACATTTGCACTCTACATACTTTATGAAGCATTCTCACAGATACTGTTGCAGATCTCCCACTGACACAGGGGTGGGTTGGCTGTGAAAGGGCTCAACTGGACTTACATTCCAGGAGTAGAAACAGGCTTGGAGCTGTGGACCTCTCAAAGGCACGGAACTAGTAAGTGGCAGAAATAGTGCTAGAACCCAAAACTTCTGATTCTAAATTTCTTAACAACACACAGCACCATCTTCCCAGTGCATCACAGCTAAAACCACCTTATTGAACTCTTGTTTTACTCTGGAGAAGAATGCATACTGACTGAGGACTCTGCTCCATGCCTGGTAAAATATCTGACATTTGAGGACACAGAGGTCAAGCAAGATTGCTACCTGCCCAAAGCATCTAAGTCCCGGGATACATGCCTGCATTATTTTCTGATATTTCTAAAGCAGCGGATTCCTTTCTATGGGCTGCGAAGAGAGGGTCCTCCATGGAATGTGCTGAAGGGATTCATTCATGCATCCCTTGAACCACCAAGTCTTGCCTATGAAGGGACTGAATATACAAATGGGCAATGGGCAATGGCCAGACCATATATAAAAGTAGAACTTGAACCCCAAACTTGCAGCAGCCTGCCGAGGAAACCAACCCTCTTATCCACAATAACCAGCCCAGAAAGCCAGCTTACTATAAGTCAGACTTGCGGGAAGTCAGAATTGCTATCCCTAGTAACGAACTGGGAAGCTAAACAATAACTTCTGTAACAATTGACCCAAAATGGCAGGATTTGATTAATAGCAGACAGCCTTCCTGATTTTTGTCCCTGCTTCCAATTCAGGATCAACCAGAGAAAGCAAGAGATGAACCCTAATCAATCACGCAAGATGCCCCACTTCTCGTTAGCTGGCTCCAGCTTCTCCAGGACAACAGCACCCAATCAGGGCACACTGAAACCTTCCCTTTTTCCCACTTGATAGGTTTTTCCACTCCTCTTCCTGCTTTTGAGTCTCTTGCAGAATGAGGAGTTGGTGTTTGACTCCCTTGCTATAGCAAGCTTAGAATAAATAGCTTTTGCTTTTCTCATTTGGTTTGTCTTTGTTTATGTCCACAGTATAAATCTGAGAAATTGTATGTCTCATTCATACATATACCCTTCTCTTCAAATATTTGTAGCTACTGTTGTGATGTACAAAACACAAATTCAGTTAGAATGCACAATGCCTAGCCTGTGGAATCACTAATATTTTACTTTGTGGTACAATGCATTAACCCCTTGCATTAATAAAGAATAAAATGCATTTATAAGTACTAGTTTTTAAAAAGACTAAGTGTAAAAGCACATTGCAAACCCGCGTTTATATTATCATCCCAAATTGTAGACACAGTAACAAATATCATGGTGGCAAAGAAAGCAAGTTCCAGAGCGCAGTTGCTGAGATTTGAACCCTGCTCTACCACTTGCTTGATTGGACCATGTGCAAGTTGATTTGCTGTTCTGTGAGCTTCAGTTTTCTCTTTTGTCAAATGGAATCTAATAATCCTATATCAGAAACGTGATGTGAGGATTAAATTAACATAGGCAAAATATAAGGCACGTGGCAAGAACTTTGCTCATTGCGATATTACCTACTAACACTGCTGTGATTATACAATATGCAGAAAATGATCCGGAAAAGACACAAGAGCAGTTGTCGGTGACAGTTATCTCAATGGATGGCATAACAAGGGACTCCAACATTCTACATGAAACGTTTCTGTATTATTTGTAGTATTTTTACAAGTATGTGTTAGTTTTATACAGATAAATACAATTTTAAATGGTTAAAAATGTTCTCATATTTAAAAAGCACATTGGGAGCCATTGTGTTAAATTATGCAGTGCAGACACAGAGAACCAAAAGGCTATGTGTGGTGGGAATAGTGAGGTAGGATAAGAACTTTCCAGAAAAGGAGAGAAAGGAGAGATCCTGTGGAGCCAAGCTGGGAACCAGGCTGGAGAGGAGAGGCAATAGCTGTTCAGGAGCAGCTATGTCTGTAAACTAGACACGAGACTCTATTTTATCTAGAGTTTTCCTTCTCTTGCCTCAACAAGCCCTCTCCCACTACCCTCTAGCAGTCAGCTTTATCACCTGAGAGGATTTAGGGAAATGGAAGGAGAAGAGGTACTGACTTTGTCTACCTCATAAGAAGGGGACAAAGGGAAACTATTATCCTGACCTTTCTATCTCTCCAGGAAATGGGTATCTACCTCTTTGCATTGTTTACTAAGAAGTGCTATTCAAGTGATTCTTCCTAGAATAGTGAAAGATGTTTCTAGAAGGTTTGCTTTCTCCCTGACACAGAGAAGCAGCCAGGAATTCTTAAATATCAAGCTTTTAAAGAAAACTCCATTTCACCAGGCAATCTACCATGCACGTGAGAACAGCACTTGCTTCATATACTGGTTGTAAGATGTGATCCAGACCGTGTACTGAAGCTGTTCACACAGGGGCAGGCACAAGGTAGGCACAACATGAATATTTGTGTCTTAGTCTGTTTTCTGCTGCTGTAATAGAATACCTGTGATGAATTAACTTATAAACAATAGAAGTTTATTTGGCTCACAGTTCCAGAGGCTGGAAAGTGTAAGAGCGTGGTGCCTGCGTCTGGTGAGGGCCTTCATGTTGTGTCATCTCATGGCAGAAGGTGGAAGGCAAGAAAGGGCAACAGTGAGCAAGTAAGAGGAGACCAGACTCACTTTTATAACAAAGCTACTCTTGAGATAAAGAACCCACTCCTGTGATAACAACATTAATCCATTCTTGAGGTCAGAGCCCTCTGACCTAACCACCTTTTATTAGGCCCCACTTCCCAAAAACTGTTGCGTGGGATTAAGTTTCCAACACATGAATTTTGGGGAACGCATGCAAACAATAGCAATTTACAAATAATGGCCAAAATTTGTTGAGGATTTAACTGGTGAACCCAAGAGCTAAAATGGGGCTCCAGGCAGAGTCTTTGCCTTCAAGGGGTATATTAGTCTATTTTTACGCTACTAATAAAGACATACCCAAGACTGAGTAATTTATAAAGAAAAAGAGATTTAATGGACTGGAAAGCTGGTCTTGTGTTTTTTTTTTTGGTTTTTTTTTTTTGAGACGGAGTTTCACTCATGTTACCCAGGCTGGAGTGCAATGGCGCGATCTCGGCTCACTGCAACCTCCGCCTCCCGGGTTCAGGCAATTCTCCTGCCTCAGCCTCCTGAGTAGCTGGGATTACAGGCACGCACCACCACGTCCAGCTAATTTTTTGTATTTTTAGTAGAGAGGGGGTTTCACCATGTTGACCAGGATGGTCTCGATCTCTTGACCTCGTGATCCACCCGCCTCTGCCTCCTAAAGTGCTGGGATTACAGGCTTGAGCCACCGCGCCCGGCATCTGGTCTTGTTTTCTATTCAAATCTTCAACTCATTGGATGAGGCCCGCCCATATCATGAAGAGCAATCTCCTTTACTCCAAGTTCACCAACTTAAATGTTAATCCCATCCAGAAACACCCTCTAAGTTGACACATCAAGTTAATCATCACAATCCTGAATGGATTCCAGGGTCCTGCATTGGTTTCCTGTGTTGTTGTACCTGGACAAATTACCTAAGGGTCTGACCCACTTATGAACCCTGCCTTCTAAGCTTCATTGCTTAAACAAAGGCAACATAGAATAAAGAGAGGAGTAAAAGTGGCTGCAAAATGAAGAACATTAGTGCACACTGACTATCTAATGGTTTAGTCCATTACACTGCATCCAATAAGTGAACTATTAGGCAGCCACTACAATAATAATTATGAAGGCTGTGTGGAAACATAGGATTGTTTAAGTTTAATATGAGATGAAAGAAAGCAGAAAAAATTGCAAATATAGTTATAACTGTGTGACGTGTATTGTGTAGGCAGATTAGACAGGAATAAAACAAAATGGAAATAGTCACATTGAGATGACAAAATTACTTATTTATTTAACGACTACATGTTAGGTGTTGTCTGCTACATGCCAAGCACAGTTCTAAGCCTTCAGCTTTCTGTCTCTACGGATTTGCCTACTCCTGACATTGCATAGAAATAGAATAATAGAAGCCAGGAGCAGTGGCTCCCGCCACTTTGGGAGGCCAAGTGAAGACATGTGAAGAAACAACTGTGAGATTTTTTTTCTCTTTAAAAATTTGCCTAATACCCACTAGAATAGTCATAATTTTAAAAATGAACAATAATAAGTGCTAATGAGGATGTAGAGAAATTAGAACTCTCAGACATTACTGGTAGGCATAAAAATGGTACAGTCTCTTTGGAAAATAGCAGCTCCTCAAAGGGTTAAGCATGGAGTTACTATATAATTCAGCAATTCCAATCCCAGGTATATACCAAGAAAATTAAAAACATGCCGGGCGCGGTGGCTCAAGCCTGTAATCCCAGCATTTTGGGAGGCCGAGGCAGGTGGATCACGAGGTCAAGAGATCGAGACCATCCTGGTCAACATGGTGAAACCCCGTCTCTACTAAAAATACAAAAAATTAGCTGGACATGGTGGTGCGTGCCTGTAATCCCAGCTACTCAGGAGGCTGAGGCAGGAGAATTGCCTGAACCCAGGAGGCGGAGGTTGCGGTGAGCCGAGATCACGCCATTGCACTCTAACCTGGGTAACAAGAGTGAAACTGCGTCTCAAAAAAAAAAAAAAAAAAAGAAAATTAAAAACATATGTCCACACAAAAACTTGTTCATGAATGGTTATAGCAGTAGTATTCATAATGGCCAAGCATATTCATCAACTGATGAATGAATAAACAAAGTGTTATACCACGCAATGGAATATTATTCAACCATAAAAAGGAATAAAATACTAATTAATGATACAACATGGATAAACCTTGAAAACATTATGCTAAACGAAAGGAAAAGGCCACATATTCTATTATTCCCTCCCAGCCTCTCTTCCCTCCCTTCCTTCTCTCTTTCTCTTTCTTTCTTTTCTTTTGACAGGTTCTCACTCTGTCCCTAATGCTGGAATGCAGTGGTGTGGTCTCAGCACACTGCAGCCTTCACCTCCCAGGCTCAAGTGATCCTCCTACCTCTGCCTCCAAGTAGCTGGGATCACAGGTGTGCACCATCACACCCGGCCAATTTTTGTATTTTTTGTAGAGCTGGGGTTTTGCCACGTTGCCCAGGCTGGTCTTGAACGCCTAAGCTCAGGCAATCCACCTGCCTTAGATTTCCAAAGTGCTGGGAACTGCTGCACCCGGCCTCTATTATTCTATTTCTATGCAATGTCTAGAGCAGGCAAATAAATCCCTAGAGACAGAAAGTGGATTTGCAGTTGTCAGGAGCTGGGGGAGTGGGGAGGAGAGACTAGGGAGTGCCTGCTAAAGGGCATGGGGTTCTTCTTGGAGGTGATGAAAATATTCTGGAATTAGTGGTGATAATTGTACAACTCTGTGGCTAATTATGCACTGTGAAAGGGTGAATTTTATGGTAGTGAATCATATAACAATAAAGCTGTTATTAACAGTGGCCTAATGGTGTTGTTATGTTGCTTTTACAAATAAAATGTGTAATTAATGTTTTTTTAAAAAATAGTCTGCCTGTTTGTTAAGAAGTGTATGTCTGGTTCTTCAATAACAGTGACATGGCCTCAACTTACTTCAGCCAAATTCTAAGGAAACTATCCAGGCAGATTCCTGCTATGGGCCAGGAACAGTCAAGAGAAGGGAAACAACAGCTTTATTAGCTTGTTCTTGCGCTGTTAAAAACACCTGAGGCTGGGTAATTTATAAGGAAAAGAGGTTTAATTTGTTCACGGTTCTGCAGGCTGTACAGGAAGTAGGGCAGCATCTACTTCTGAGGAGGCCTCAGGGAGATTCCAATCATGGCAGAAGGGAAAGGGGAAGCCAGCATCTCACAGGCCCAGAGCAGGTAGAAGGCGGCAGGGAGGCCCCACACACTTTTAAACAACCACACCTCATGAGCACTCACTATCATGAGAACAGCCCCAAGGGGGAGACCCGCCCCCATGGTCCAATCACCTCCTACCAGGCCCCACCTCCAACATTGGGGAT